AGACCTACTCTAGACAGGAGCTACTGATTTAAAGCAAAGTCCTATCCCAACACAAGAACGCACAAAACATCATAACACCTAAATAATGAATACTGTTTTGTTTTAACATGTTACTGTTGTTTAAAAATTATTGCTATTGCTTGACCCAAAACGGTGCAAACTATGAACGGTACCGAACCTCAACTTTTTAACAATCTGTACAATCTAAATGTTGCACCAAAAATGAAAAATAAAGAATTTAAAAAAAAAAAAAAAATGACACTTTATATTTTATCCATGGGCCATAAAAGTAAACACTATCGATATTTTTCCCCACATTCAAGAGAAATCAATACCTCAGCTACAGGCAAGAATTTCACTCATCCCAAGTGGGAGTTACCTTGGCAACTGCTTAGTAACATGACCGCGGATGATCAATTAACGTGAATTAGAACATTAATGGACTATTCACTAAACCGTAAATTACCAAGTTGGAAACATCGCTAAATCGAAGAATGTTTTCAGCTGACCTAACTTCCCCTTTAATTTTGCAAGATTTTCAATTGATTACATTTCATTATTAAATTAATGTGTTTTATTGCTCATATTTCTTGTAGTCAAATTCACTGAATGGGTGCTTCAAACATTTATGGGAAATGCCATTGTAATTAAAAATTAATATTAAGGCACTGATGCGGTAAAAGATCTTAGTTTATGTTCTCTGTACTGACAATTCTATTCTAATTCTCAAATGTAGCCTGATTGCTATTGATTGAAAGGCTTTAACCCATTAAGGACACTTCAGAAATAAAAAGGAATCATGACGGAATATTTCCGTCATGTGTCCTAAAGGGGTTAAAGGTAGGCTTCTTGTTATTTGATGTGAGTAGATTCCCAAATGCAACATATATTGCACACTTTCTGGTTTCTGATCAGGGTAAAGTGACATAACATTACATCACATTATGATTAATTTACTAAACTGTGAGCTGAGCTAAAACTGAAAATTGATTTTAAAATTTTACACAGCATATCGGCACTGGAAAAGTTCTGTAATTAATCTTCGGTTTCTCAACTTGACTGTTTGAGCCTAAATTTTGCAATTTGGTTTGCTGTACTTCATTGATTGTGGTTTCTACTTTGAACGAATTGCTAAATTTTAGACCAATGAAGGCAATTTGTAAAAAAATAAAATAAAATACATAAAAAGTGGTCAAATAATTTTTATTTTTTGCAGCTTGGTTAATGTTACCTAATATGAGCAATTTCCTTCTAAGTTCTCCACAATTAACTTTTTAAAGGGTTTTTTTTTTTTTTTTTAAGCCAATGTATTGCTAAAGAGGTATAAGCATTATTAGGGCAGGTTTAGATCTTAAAACATTTTATGGATGGTTGTCTTTGCAGATAAATAGATAATTTTACGTACATATGATTAGTAGTCCGCTAACCTTGGCACTACAGACGTTAGAGAAACATATTTGTTAGAAAACGGAGCATCGTAGGCTAGCGATCACTGCAAGAGATCAATTATCTGCTGGTTCCATTTCTGAATGGTTGGAAGAAGTACAGTGGAAACTCGGAACTCAAACTTAATCCATTCCAGGAGGCTGTTCAAGTTCTGATATGTTCGAGAACCAAATCAACATTTCCCATAGGAATTCATGTAAATTTGTTTAATCCGTTCCAGACCCCCAAAATTACATGGATGGGGATAGGTAACTGTTCTTCTGCCATTACATGCTAACCAAGAAAACAAAACTTCATCTTAAAGGGATACTATAGGCACCAAAACAACTGTAGCTTAATGAAGCAGTTATTGTGTATCGATCATGCCTTGCTGGCTCAATTGTTTGTCATTTAGGAGTTAAATCACTTTTATCCAATAGAATTCAGTGTACAATATATTTCTACATCCAGAAATTGTATCCTGTTGGTGAGGCTTTAGCGAACGGGAGAGTCGTTTCTACAATTTCTGGATGTAGAAATATATCGTACACGGAATTCTGTTGGATACACTTTATATAAGGCATCCTCAGACCGTAACACTCTCCTACACGCTACCAGTTTCCATCCCATTGCCCTCAAGAAATCACTCCCAATCTCACAGAAACTCAAATCACAGCCATGCAATGAGTTTTCTTGACAAGAGGCTATTCTAAACCTACTTTGGAACATTCTTTGCAGAGAGCATATGAAATACACCACAAAAAGTCCACGCCTGGAATCAGAAACGTATCTGAAGCATCTAGGATCAGGATTCCATTTCTATACCACACTTCTAGTGACAAGATCTCAACCACCATTAAAAAAAGATGGGACATCTTATCAGACCACACATTACATCCTGGGTTCACTCAACCCCCTCACATCGCCTTCTATCTTAATAGAAACTTGAGCGACATTCTTGTTAAAAGCGACTACCCACACACCAAAAAGGGGTTGTTTTAAATGTACCATGTGGTTAAATGCTCACTGGATCCTCTTTCGTCCACCCCCACTCGGGGAAACAGTATCCCATTCAGCATTATATCACTTGCCTCACCGACCACGTTATATACACATGATTTCATGCCCCTGTGGCCTTTATTACGTGGGAAAAACCAGACCTCACTCTTCAGGATAAAATACAGTCATCGATCAGGAATCATGACTGCTTTCCGCGATGGTAAAACAGACAAGATGGTAGCCAAACATTTTTATTTTTTTTGAGGCTCAACATCGCCTCCCAACACTCATATTTATGTCCATAGATCATGCCCCCTTTTCCAGAGGCGGCGACAGATCCAAGGTACTTCAACATGAGACATACTGGATCAAAATATTGGACACTGTGCATCCCAAGGGACTCAATGAATATTTCTTTTCTAAGCACATGCTAATTTGGATTTTTAATTTTATTCACTTTTCATGTTTATTTTATCTACACTTTCATTTATTTTGTATTTTTTCTTCCTTTCAGTTTATATATTTTTCATTTTATTGCATTTTCACTCCTAGTATTGTTTTGCCCTATTCTTTTCTTTATTTGCATTTTATTTCATTTTCTAATTTTTATTAGGTCACATTTATTCCTATTTGTTTTGTTCTATTTTTTTTATATATCTTCATAATTCTCTATTTTTTGCTGCTTGTTTAGAGTCCTTTTATACGCAGGCCATACTTTCTACATCCCTTTTCGCTAGACACTGGCAAACTACCCACGGTATCTTCCATTCTTTATAGAATATGTTCCACACCTTAACGTCATACCCTATCTTTATCGGTGTCTCAGATACCTTTTTTGGTTATGTTAGCTGAAATCTTTGATTATAACTAGCTTTTCTCCCCTTCATTGATTGTATATGATAGTTTATATATTTAGTATCATGCATATAGACCTTCACAGTGCACCATTTCACTTACTCTATACTTTCATTTATTTGTTCCACATTCTCCTTGCAGGTCACCATTTTCCACTAGTATTTCACATTTTAGTAGGTTGCTACACATTTGTTTTACTGGTACCCACAGTATATCCTTTCTATATTCCTCTACACAATCGTTTTTACTGCTACTCTGTTCTTCCTAGTCACCTCTCAACCATTTCTTCTATTCATAGTTCACACATTCCACTCTCCTAGCCTCATCCACACAGGTTCTCCATTTCTCTGGTCTTAGACATGGCATAAGCCTTACTTTCTCATCTGTTCAGCGTTAGATATATTTTTCTTCTATTTAGATTTACATTATCCTCCACTGTTTTTAATGGACCCCTCACTTTCACATAATCTAGTCACTTTATTTTCATTACATGATGCTAGCACAATCATTTACATATTTTTCACGTCACCATGCACGTCTTCCACACATGTGCAGTCACCTCTTCCAGTCCACACAGCGTTCTGAACACTGATCTATTGGGCACACCTGCACTAGGGCAAGTGATTGGTTTATCGTTTACTCTATATATAAACTGCATTTTTCTATTTGTACACATCTTGATAAAGACCTGTGTCGAAACGTTGATTGTTCATTTCACTAATACACCTTAAGAAAATCCATTGAGTGCTCTTCATTATATATCCATGTCCCATTTGGGAGTATTTTATCAGGCTACAAATTCCAACTACCCCATAAATAAATAAAAATAAATAAAAAAAAAATCCATTTCTTAAAGACATCCCAGGGAATTTCAAAATTCATATTTTGAACCTTAGTGTGGAATCATTTTTTGTTAGCATTTTTTTGCCACAAAATGAGATCTACAGCATTTTTTGCAAACCTTGTGTGCTACACCTGTATATTTCATATGTTGCTTAGCCATGTAGTAGATTATAGGAATATGTATGTACCTTTGCCAAGTATATGTGGATGTTGAAAGGGTGTATGAGGGTTCCCCCCCCAAACTTTGAATTTTTACACTGTGCCCATGTTCCATTTTGGAGTTAGTTTAGCAGGTTTGTTATTCAAACTATCCCACAAACCCATACTTTTTAAAGAGTTGACTCTGGGGTCTTTCAAAAGGCATATAACAGGAAATGCCTCAATTTCAACTAACTCCCACCCACCCCACCCAGCTAAATTTTTTTAAAAAAAATTTAAACCCCTGAGGGTTATATAAAAACAAACAAAACCAGACCACAGTATAAACTGATCTGTATTTTGATCACTGTAGTCTGATGGCAAGGAAGGGGTTAATTTTATTTAAAATGGGTAAAAGGGGTGTGATCTCAAATCAGCACTGATTTGTCTCCCTGCACACTGAATGCAAAAGAGCAGGGCGGCTGACCAGGAGTCCATGCAGCACATATGTGCACTCTGCCAGCCTGCCAGAGAGATCACAGCTGCAGGGACAGCGCGATAAGGTGCTCCCGGTCTGCCTCAAATACAGAGGCAGACTGGAGGAGCATTTACCCTGCAATCATGGCAATCTGGGGTTAACTTTAGTAAATGACGGAAACTTTCTGTCATGCATCCTCAACGGTAGGATAAGCATGACAAAAGGGTTCATGTATTAAAAAAGTGTTTTTACCATCACTTATCCCAGATACATGCATGCAAGAAAAAATTAAGACAAGATCAAGACACCTTCAATATAGTTTTATTACCTCTTCAAAAACTACAGTTTTCAGACTCTGCACATGAACCATTAGCTAATCTCTCGTTAGACTGCAACACAACTTTAAGAGAACACAGACCAGTGAAGTGCCCAGGACCACAGCCACAATAGAAAAAACACAGACAACATGCAGGCACCGAGAGACAAACAAGGAATTTTTCTAATAAGCAGCAAAGCTTCAGGGACTGACTGTCAGAATCTGAATTGTGATGAGGCTCAGGGTTGACCACCACAACCACTGCTGGAAGGGCTTGAATTTGGAACAGGCACGTCCAGCACTGATGTGTTTAAACCTCACCCTGCACTCTAGGTTTGCAGTGACTACAGCAGGTGGTTAAGTGCTTAATTTGAGATTGCAGCCACTTAGTTGATGATTGGCTTCCTGAAGTTCTTTCCAGCAAACACTGCCTTGCTGCCCAGCTCTTCCTCAATCCTACAAGGAAAAAAAAAGTAGAAGTTTATCATTGGTCTGCATTCACAAAGCTTGCATCATGTTTGGTACCTGTTAGGAATGCTCTCCTAATCCCCCAGACTACATTAAGGCAGTAGGTCAGTGATGGCCAACCCCAACACCATAAATTGTTTATGGACTACATTTCCCATAATGCTCAGCTAGCTTTTAGACTCTAAAAAGTTAGCTGAGCACCATGGGAAATTGAGTCCAGAAACAATTTGTGGTGTCAGGGTGAGCCATCACTGCAGTAGATTTTACCCCAGTCAGTTTAGTGTATCCTATTACACTACAATTCCAGAGATACTAGACCAGGGTGCCCGAGAGGTAGATCAGCAGAGGTTTTAAAACTACAGCTTCAATGATGCTTTGCCATTTTAAATGAATTACAGAGCATCAGGGGAGTTTTAGTTCTACAACATCTGGGGATCTCTCTTTTGAACAACCCTGTTCTAAAAATCATCCATCCAGGTCTGCATATAATTTGACAATTGAAAAAAATAAAATAAAAAGGTAGTCACTTAATGTATAGTGCAGTTTGGACCCTCTACTTTTGTAGAATTTTATTCAAAATTGATCCCTGATCTATGGCTTCAGTTGCAACATTTACAGATAGGATGAAGATGCTAAGCCTGGTAACCCTTGTATCCGATTTAACATCCAGTGCATTTCTTAACTAAGTGTTAAACACAGTGGTCACTAAATCTAGTTCAGATTGTTTTACATTAAAGTGTGACTTTAATACGTCTGGCACTAATGAGGAGCAAATTTGCAGAAATCTGGTTTAATGGAGTATTTAAACATGTAGGTGGACATTTCATTACTATTTTTGTTTATAACTCGTGTCTGCATGCAGAATATTTCTTGAGGGGAGTTGGACGTTTACTCTGATGCTTTACCCTCAATGTAATGGATGTTACAACTGCCATTGAGTTTAGTGGAAGATTTTTTTTACCAAAGCTGGTCATCAACACAAAACTGGCTACTGGTTAACTTACCTGAGCAACTGGTTGTACTTTGCAAGACGCTCAGATCTGCATGGGGCCCCAGTCTTAATCTGCAGTTAAAAATAAAGTAAGTTTAAGAATTACTTTGGGCTTCAGTGTCCCTTTAAAATTAATTTCAAAGAGCTGAGGTGGTTATGGTGCATAGAGTCCTAAGGCATTGTACTAGTTTGTGTCAAATTATCTTCAACAGAGTGGAAGAACCCAGACTGGTCAGCTTAACATTTTTTGCACTAAGCTGCAGATGTGGTGAGAGCCATGGTTTTGCAAGACTGCTCAAAAAGTTTGACACAAACTGCCATTACTGCTCATTGTGGTAGTAAAATTAAGCTTTATTGTTTTCATAACTGCATTTTATCCTTTACCTGTCCGGTACAGAGGCCAACCACCAAATCGGCAATGAAAGTGTCTTCTGTCTCTCCGGAACGATGACTGACCATCACTCCCCAGCCATTGGACTGAGCAAGCTTACAGCTGGAAGAAGAGGGGAGACACCATGTCCATTTTTATAAATTACAGACATGAAAGCACTTAAACTTTAACAAAGCATCCATGTCAATATATGTTAAAAGTTGTAGTGCCACCCAACCTATATTTATGTTTACTAAAAACTGAATGGCAGGGATAAAAAAATAAAGTTGCAGTTAAGGCTATACAGTTTTAACGTCATTGAAACGCAAGTGTCCAAGTTTTTTGAAATTTAAAGTTTTGTAATTTAGTGTAAAACTCAAACTGAAGGCAAGTACGACATTTCAATATACCGAATTTAATTAAATGTGTAGGGATCAACACTGAATGTCTTCAGTGTTAACCGATTCAGTTTTATTCAATAGGGTGTTTAAACTAGCCAGACATGCCAAGATTTTAGTAGTCTATCAATTTAAACAGTACTTACGCCTGCAGTGATTCTGTTACTGTGCCGATCTGGTTGACCTTTAGTAGGAGACAGTTGCATGCCTTGTCTTCCACTGCCTTTGCAATACGTTTGGGATTGGTCACAGTAAGGTCATCACCTACTACCTGGATGCCAGTAGACGCTGTGAACTTTGCCCAGGCAGCCCAATCATCCTGATCGAAAGGATCTTCAATGGACACAACTAGGGGAGAAACAAAATCGCAAATGAACATTTTGCAAGTGGAAAATCACAGCATTTAGGCAAACATATCACAAGATACTTCTGGTGTTAAGCAAACCAATATTTTGAGTATAAAGTCTGCTACCACCCCACCCAGCCCCCCCCCCAAAAAAGTAAACATGCTCACTCAAGGCTGCAGAATAAGCCTGTCATTATGCCACATTTCGTTGCAAGTCGTAGCTCTTGTCTCCAACATTTACAGAACATTTCATCAATTTGGAAAGCTAGAAGCTATTGTATGAACTGCCAACTACTGCCCCAGGAGGATTGATCTCTGCTGACTGCACATTACAAACACCTTTCAACATCAGGTTTGTGCAAACTGTTTTGTAACCGATTGTATGAAGTCAATGAATAGCCTATCCAGCATTTGTGGAATTTTAACATTCTGCTGCAAAGTTCATCTGCAGTCACCTTTATAAGCTAGAATGTTATTTTGTGAACCCATTTATAGAAAGCAGAGAACTTTATTGTAATGAAGGAAATTTGACTGTAAAAACCACTACATCTAGATATGAGACTATACGCCATAGATTCTGGACCAGAGAAGGAAAGTAAAAGGGCCAAGCCAGTGTTCCTGGATGTTTATAAACAGTCTGAGAGGAGATGATATAACATCTACAAAAAACTAGTCATTTTTAATGAATCCACAAGGCTTCATGAATCTCAATGTATGCCAGATCTGGTGAAATCATTTTAACCCATTTATAAATCAGCATGAGTCAAACCAAAAGCAGAACACACCAGCAAGGATAATGCAGTAGGTGTTACTGTTACTCTGCAAGCAATATGCTCATTGTATTCCCTATGAAGATGGTGCATAACATGCCATGTAAAATTACAGTGCTCGACTAGTTCCAGACTGGCATTGTAAAACTCAATACCAGTCGTGGTGCAGGTTACCTGGATAATCCCTCACAAAGCTCTTGTACAGATCCCCAAGCTGATCGGGGGTGATGTATCTGCTGGGGTCATCTGGTGACTTGAAGTCCAGATCATACTTTCCATCACGGTAGAATTCTGAAGCAGCCACATCCATTCCAATGACAATCTTATCGGTGTATCCAGCCTTGTTAATGGCAGTCTTCAGGAGCTCCAGTGCTGAATGCAAAGCAAGATCAATAGTCTGTTAGAGAATGAAGACTTTAATTCCCAGTAATTCAAAGCCTCCCGGTTTGCAGTATAGTTAGCAGATCCCCGCAGTCACTAGAGGACACAGCATGAAGCATTCAACTCTAGGTATAGCTACAATATCTTACCAGTTCCTGTCATTCCTAGTTTATATCAGAGCTAGGCTTGTCTGAACTTTACGGTATAGTGCCAAGGTGTTTTACAGGACTGGCAATCTAGATTTAAAGGGTCTGTTTAAATTAGTGAGAAATACATGAACACTATAATATATATAAAATAGCAAAGTGTTCACAGATCACAGTAAAAGTTTAGCAAATTGGACAAACTCCTGTTCACATCTCACAATCGCAAAAAAAGTAATACTTACTGGGGGGGGAGGGAGGGGGGAGAGGGAGGGAGGGAAAGGTAGGTTTTCCACAATAGTTCTGAGAATACCTCCCTCAAACCTCAGGAATTTGACACATTTCTTCACCCACTTCAAATCAGAATATCTAGCTTTGCCAGATTCTGATATTTCTGATTTTACATGTGGAATTTTTACCTGCTCACCTTTTCATAACTACAGCTAGTCTGCAGATGTTACCAACTTCTAGTCAACCAAGACTTTTGGTTCCTTAGAGTGGATACTAAAAGGCAATACAGGGAACATGCAGAGTTTGCATTACTTTAACCAATTGATGCAGACATGGCATTTGTAGACTCAAGGCACCATAACCTCAGTTAAATATTCACCGCTTGACTACTATATGGCAAAGGCAGAGTGCTGCCCAGCATTGCACCATATCAGGGTTAGCAGACTATGGGGTGAGCATCAGCTGGGCACTTCTAGCCATTATGCCCCAATCCCAGTTATAAAATCCAGCTCTGCCTTGCCATATTGTAATCCAGGGCCGGGCTGCAAAATAGTCACAGTTTAACAGTGACGCAGGACATTGTATCTGAAGACTCCAGTTGACAGGGGTTATGGTGCCTACACTGTAACATTAACTTGTTTTAGAAAGGTGAGAATATGCTCCTACTTTCTAAGCCATGCATAGGTAACTGTCGGCACTCCAGATGTTTTGTACTACACCTTCCATGCTGCTTTGCCAACTTTATGGGTGTAAGAGCATTATGGGGATGTAGTCCACAACATCTGGAATGCCAAAGGTTGCCTATCCCTGGTCTGAGCACTAGCTGCCTGAAGCCAAAGTGTTAAACAGATAGTTTCGACTCAAGACCACCACCCTAAAAACCAAACTCCACAAACATTTGACATGTTCCTAGAAATGCATTTTCATATTCTGTTTGGGAACACATGTAAAGAAGGTTATGTTGCTTCAAATAACGTTTGTATAGTCTTAAAACGTCTCAATCCTGAAAACTGCAGTAACCAACATCTATATTTAGGACCAGTTCTCATGTTCTTGTTAAAGCAAGCATATTACAGGCTACAGTTACAGTAACAGAAACACTATATATCCCATTACCAATGAACCATAAAAACAGCCCCATGTGTACAATGACAGCATGCTATGTCAAATTATAGACTATGCTTCCTCTGTAAAGCAGGAGTCTAGGAGCTCTAATCAACGTGGGACATGAAGCTGGTGTGAAGCAGGCTATGAAGCCAACTGTAGCAGCTAGATGTAAAGTCCAGTACTAAAAGGACATATCTTGGACAGCTTTTAATGGAAGAATTCCTGACTGAGGGAGGAGTCACTTCAGCAGTAAATGTAGATTGTTAGACTTTTACTAGAGCGAGAATTCAAAGTGAATTCACAGTTTAAGGTCAAAATAGTCTAACCAGAAAAATTCTCTAAGTCAACCAAGTTTGATTTGAAACTCACTACAAAATTCTCACGTTCGTGAATAACCCTGTGGTGCTAATGACCGTTTTAGCTTTGCAATGAGTGGGTCACAGCTCAAGCTTTAGTGGAAAGACGGTTCAGGGAACAGATGTTAGTCCAAGGCATGCCACTTGTAGTAGCAACAGGCATTTGCACAGAAAATGTAGAATATTAGGACGGGTAACATTTTAGGATTAATCTTGCTCTTTGTAAGACTTTAGATTAGGCCAAGAACAAGAGTAAATTAAATTTAGGAACACTAGCAGCAAGATGCAATATTTACCTTCCTTATTTTCCAGGATGTTGGGAGCAAAGCCACCCTCATCGCCAACATTTGTAGCATCCTGTCCATACTTTTGCTTGATGACATTCTTCAGGTTGTGGTAGACCTCTGCTCCAATACGCATGGCCTCCTTGAAGCTGGTTGCCCCAACTGGCAGGATCATAAACTCCTGCATGGCAAGCTTGTTTCCAGCATGAGAGCCACCATTTATTACATTAAATGCCTGAAAGAAAGATATTCAGTACAAGGTATCAGGCTACAAGTTATAAGCTCTACCAAGCACCACCTACAGTGCTAGCTTATGGTTGCAGTGTAAAAAAACCAAAAAAAAAAACAACCCGGGATTCCCAAAGCCTGCTCTGTGGTTTAGTGAGGAAGTTATTGTTATCCTTCCATAGCCTGTGGGACATAAGCAATGTACAATTCGGTCATTCAGTGAAACAAAGCACTGCATTATATCTTTGTAGCTAATGGTACAGATGAGGTCTGCTGCGGCTGAAATGATCTATACTGCAGCGTATCAGGGTCACTGTACAGTGTGTGTACACACTGGATTGTTCCAGGCATGCTAGATTGAGAACAGTTTAGTGTTAAGTTTGTTTTTTGGAGGGACTGCAGCTATAACCTTCCATCAGAGATCACTAAATTTACGCAGAGTCTTAGACATCACAATACACCTTAGGGAAGATGGAATAAGCAGTTCCACAGAACACGAGTCAGACTTACAGGAACAGGCAGCACAACTTCTGGGTTTCCAGCCAGATCGGCAATGTGACGGTACAGAGGGACTCCCTTTTCAGCGGCACCTGCTTTGCACACTGCCAGAGACACACCCAGGATGGCATTGGCACCATACTTGGCTAAAAGAATTAAACATTAGCTGTCAGAACAAGTGCTTAGATATTGTATACAATGTTTCAGAACAGAATGGGCGACACCAATTCCAGGAGTCAGTTATCGACCAATACATGGAACCCATCACCTAAACAGCATTTTACTTAGTCCTAGATTTGTACACACTGCAGACAGAACACAGAACATGTCCAGAACCAAAGATCACTTCTTACAAACCCAGCTTGGACAATCAGCCACATTCAAGTTAAATGTGGCTTCCAACTCAGGCACACTGCGTACACTATTATACCACCCACATGTACAAATGTCTCCCATGCCAGTATTTCATGTAGTGTGGATTGCATACTCCATATCAGATATTAAACCAGTGGCACTATACATAAAGGCATTGTGCATAAGAGCTTGGAAGATACAGGATTAGATTAAATGCCCCTTAAAGTGATACCAGGCATATAAATCGGTGCCTGCAAAAGAATGCTTGTAGACAGGAACAAAAAGATCAAGTCATTGATCCCAGATTGGAACCTTTATCCATTTGTCATGAGGTGTTAAGTCAGAACGTGTGTTTACGGTTAAGTTCACTTGCTGTTAAGGATACTCACATTTGTTCTCAGTCCCATCCATATCCAGCATAAGTTTGTCTATTTTTTCCTGTTCCACAACATTTAGACTCTAAGGGATTAAGACAGAAAACTTTCAGTTTATGCCATTATAGCAAGCGCTACAGATTAATGTACACTTAAAATACATTCCCAGTAATCTGTTTCCATAGTTGGGAAATTGACGCCACACCAATTCTGGGCATTGATCAGTTAAAGGACCACTCTAGGCACCCAGACCACTTCAGCTTAATGAAGTGGTCTGGGTGCCAGGTCCTTCTAGGCTTAACCCATTTTTTCATAATTATAGCAGTTTCAGAGAAACTGCTATAATTATGAATGGGTTAAGCCTTCCCCCTAATCCTCTAGTGGCTGTCTCATTGACAGCCACTAGAGGCGCTTGCGTGCTTCTCACTGTGATTTTCACAGTGAGAGCACGCAAGCGTCCATAGGAAAGCATTGTAAATGCTTTCCTATGCGACCGGCTGAATGTGCACGCAGCTCTTGCCGCGCGTGCGCATTCAGCCGGCAGGGCGGATCGGAGGCGGAGAGGAGGAGGAGAGCTCTCCGCCCAGCGCTGGAAAAAGGTAGGTTATTACCCCTTTCCCCCTTCCAGAGCTGGGCGGGAGGGGGTCCCTGAGGGTGGGGGCACCCTCAGGGCACTATGGTGCCAGGAAAACGAGTATGTTTTCCTGGCACTATAGTGGTCCTTTAATTCATTTGAAGTAGTAACATCTACCAAGGTACACTATGCAAGCAATACAATTGACTTTTTTTAGATAATTGTGGACAGACATCTGCCTATGTATCCATTACTATGGACTAAGGAATCTAGAATTGACCCGCCAACATCTCACCGTGTTGGTATACAGCATTAGTTACAGAAAAGGTACAGGTTGGACTTTGAGGACATCTGCACTGTTATTTGCTTGAGCGCATGTTAATCTACATCATGCTACCATGCCATTCTGTGCGTTTGCTGAACTTTAGAACAGTCAGTTCAATAGCACCTTGCAAGTAAATATGATCAACTTAAAGGACCACTATAGTGCCCTGAGGGTGCCCCCACCCTCAGGGTCTCCCTCCCGCTGGGCTGGATGGAGAGGAAGGGGTTAAACTTACCTCTTTCCAGCGCCGGGTGGGGAGCTCTCCTCTTCGGCTGAATGCACATGCGCGGCAGGAACTGCGTGCGCATTCAGCCAGTCTATAGGAAAGCATTCTCAATGCTTTCCTATGGACGCTGGCGTCTCACTGATTTTCACAATGAGAAGCACGCAAGCGCCTCTAGCGGCTGTCAAGAGAGCCACTGGAGGCTGGATTAACCCTAATATAAACATAGCAGTTTATGAAACTGATATAGATATATATCTATCTATATCAAAAAAAAAGTTAACCCTAGCTGGACTTGGCACCCAGACCACTTCATTAAGCCGAAGTGGTCTGGGTGCCTATACTGGTCCTTTAATTCAACTGCAGAGTTAGTCAAAAGGTCACCTACAACATATGCAAAATATTGAGAAATCGGAGTTATAGGTGTTCAGTAGGAGAGACAAAGTTCTATCCGGTTTACATCAGTTTCTGTAAAACAGTTTACAAGTGGTTGACCACTGAGTGATCCTTTAAGGCCAGGCTTTCCCAAACTCCAGTCATCCAGATGTTGCTGAACTACAACTCCCATGATTCTCAGCCTATTTCATAGAATCATGGGAGTTGTAGTTCAGCAACATCTGGAGGGCCAGAGTTTAGGGAAGCCTGCTTTAAAGGATTCATAAAGTCATTACTCTTCACATCATAATATTCTCAATTTAACTAGACCTCAGTTGCACTCTCCTTATGCAGGTTTCCTAAGAAATTTCCACTGTGCTAGCTGTGGACTTACAGCAGCAGGTGCAGAGGGAGCACCCTGACAAGACAATCTGGAGACTTTCAGTGGAACCTTAATAAGCAGGTCCTGGCAGATTCCCAGCTGGTAACAGACACCATACTGTCTAGAGGCTCAAATATTTCTATCTTGGAATCTGGATTGCTCACCAGTGGGTTAGTCACTAATGTGAGGCAGTTGAATGATCCAATACTTCCAATGCACATGCAGAGTGAAGTGTCTTCATTCTACATTCTAAACGCCCACACCATAGTCAAATATCCTGAAGATCTTGTACCCCTTTAGGTTAACATTTGTAACACAAAAATGCATTTAAAGCAAAGCCAAGCATATACAGGAATTCGCAAAGAGTTAGTAAAAACAGGAACCCATACCTTCTCAACCAGGGCTGGTGCAATGGTTTTATTGATGTGATCAACTGCTTTACTGACACCTGGAAGGAACAATCATTTCAATCACTGCACAAATCACACTAGCATGCTCCAGAGGCATTCTTAGACTAAGCATCTCCATGTGGATTTTAGCTATTAGAGCAAAAATATAAACAGACTTTGCAATGGAAGCCTGAGCTAACCAATGCAAGATTTTACACCCCCCTTCTAAAATACAAAAAGCCCATGCAGCCTGATGCAGGAGATACAGACACCTAGCAATGCTCTCTGGAGTGGTTAGTCTGCCAATCCCATGCACTGGGAGATGTGAGTAGCACAGACTCCCATTACCTGGGTGCACAGAGCAGGTCCCAGAAACTCGTTTACATATTTTACAGCTCTGCTCACACCTACGAGCAAACAGGACAGAAGGATATCAGCACTCATGATCCAAGTGTAAGAACCATGTCCCACAACATCCCCAGTTTGGTTTACCTACATATTCCACTGTTGTAAACAAATGTTTTCAGCAGAACAGGTCTTTAAATATCAAGCCACTGCAACATTTTCTCAGCACCCAGAAAAACATTGTTAGAATGTTAAATCTACCCTCAAATTCTAGGTTTGTATCTAATCAATTTAATCAGCAAAAAAATGATTGTCAAGGTGAGTTACAGTTAAACTAGACCGCATTCCATTCCAATTTAGGGGTTGCCATCATAACCTTTGAACTTGTGTCAGATCTAAATGGGTTCCTGCAAGTATAAACATCTGGATTTAAAATGTAAACATAACATGGCCTTATCCTTTTCTAGGGCAAAGTATGTATTGTAGTAAATTCTATAGATACTTTGTTTAGAATGTAACAGACTGTAGATTGATACACCCTTTAACACTATTTGTGCCTAGACCACTGCCTTCTGGACTGGTACAGATCACAGCAAAGCCTAAACCAACTATAAATTGTGCACTCTGATGTGTTAAGAGTTTGACTGTTCTGTGCAGTTTTCAGTGCAGACTTACCTTTTCCCAGGTAACGAGTCTTGTCATTGTCCCTGAGCTCAAGAGCTTCATAGATACCAGTAGAGGCACCGCTTGGAACAGCAGCACGGAACAGACCTAAAACAGATTTTAACTCAGACGATCTCATTGACATTTCATGCATAACAAGTCTGTTATTAGGAACAATGCAGAGCAGATTTAAAGAAGTTCGGCTCAAAACAACATCTCCACTAAGCTTGCCTCCCACTGAAACGCACTCACTATTCAGGTGTTTGAATGATACACAAGATTAGTAATTTCCCATAGAAGTGGATAAGAGACTGCTCACACATGCAATTTATTGGGGACAACGATCTGCTTTAGTATCTTCCACTAGTCATAACGGAATATTGCACTATCAATGCACTGCAAGCCATAATATGGGTTTTACAATTCACATCAATCAAGACCTGGAATATTGAGATTAAGATTGCTCAACAAGTTAGAACACGAGTATAGAATGTATTTGCCCAAACACCAAAGCAGTACATTTAGTTTTAGTGCCTAGCAAAGTTCATATACCGTATATACTCGAGTATAAGCAGAGTTTTTCAGCACATTTTTTGTGCTGAAAAACCCCATCTCGGCTTATACTCGAGTCACTGTCTGTATTAGGGCAATTTGCATTGCCATAATACAGACTGGGGGCTGGCAGAGCTGTTACTTACCTTCCTGCAGCTCCTGTCAGCTCCCTCCTCTCTCTCTCCTCCTCCGCGCCGGTCCGGTCAGCTCCCAGTGTAAGTCTTGCGAGAGCCGCGGGGTCATAGTGCGGCTCTCGCGAGACTTACACTGGGAGCTGAGAGAAGAGCTGCACGGACCAGCGCGGAGGAGGAGAGAGCTGACAGGAGCTGCAGGAGAGGTAAGTAACAGCTCTGCCAGCCCCCCTCCTCCCCCCACTGAACTGCCAATGCCACTGGACCACCAGGGAAGGAGAGCCCCCCTCCCTGCCATGTATTAAGCAGGGAGGGGGGGCCAAAAAATAAATAAATTAATAATACATAAATAATAATAAAAATAATAAAAAAAAGTAATAACAAAAAAAATTAATAATTTTTTTTTTTTTATAAAAATGCCCACCCCCCCCACCAAGGCTCTGCAACACAAACACACACTGCACTCAGACACACACACTGCACTCAGACACACACACTGCACTCAGACACACACACTGCACTCATCATATACACACTGTAAATATTCAATTAATATAATTTTTTTAGGATCTAATTTTATTTAGAAATTTACCAGTAGCTGCTGCATTTCCCACCCTAGTCTTATACTCGAGTCAATACATTTTCCAGTTTTTTGGGGTAAAATTAGGGGCCTCGGCTTATATTCGGGTCGGCTTATACTCGAGTATATACGGTACTTGCACACTCAGATTCTCAGATACTATGTTAAAGGGACACTATAGTAGTCATAACTACAGCTTATAAATCATTCCTATAGGCATTTTCATGCAAATACTGCCTTTTTAGATAAAGGGCAGTGTTTATATTGCCCCCTAGGGACACCTCCAGTGGCCACAGAAGGTACTTCTTGGGGGAAGTGTTGCAAAGTAGGCAGCACTGCCGTTCAGAGTCTCAACGCACTGCATGGAGACGCTGAAATTCTCATAGATCTGCATTGATTCAGGTGCGGATTGGCCAAGATGGCATTAGATGCAACCCCCATCCCGCCTCCATGCTGATTTCAGCCAATCCAATGCTTTCCCTATGGGAATGTCACCAAGGAGGCTGATGTAGGCAGAGCCAGCACTGGCAGACCTGTGCAGCACTGGAAATAAGGCAAGTTTTAACCTTTATTAAAGCCACTTAAAATATGCCAAGCCCCGTTTGTAGTGGCTATAGATGTCAGATCTCATTAAGGACTGGGATACAAACCATATTGATAGACAGAGCTAGAGCTTCCTGAAGTACCCAATGGGGTAAAAATTAATCAGAGCCAAAGAAACCACTATTTGTGACTGCCAACTAGCCATTTTATAAATTATAAAGTCATTTACAAGACTGCTCTTGCTTTTCAATTGAAAGGTCACAGTATCCAGTTTACTTACAGTCTTTTGGGCATTAAGGAACACTATGGTACAAACCTTTGTGTGTTGTCAAGTCAACCTCTACAGTGGGGTTTCCACGGGAGTCAAAGATTTCACGAGCATGGATCCTTTTGATAGACATTGTGACTTTCTGTGAAGGATAAGAGGTAACATTTAGTCAGGTTTACCATGCAAGAGTATATGCACATTACTGGATGCTGTTAGAAATTGTACATTGACAGACTAGAGAGAATTAACCAGTTACAGCAAAAGAGAAAATATATATTTTTTTAGACACTGGGTGGAGCCGATTAGAAGTGCCAGCTCCGGTGAGTCAGTGACCACTGCAGGGAATTGGCACAATTAAGAATCCTGCAAGATCCTCCATAGACCTCAATGCAGCCCACTTGTTCTTGTCTTGCAAAACTACAGCAGTGATGCTGGCTCCCCCAGTGACATCACTGCAGTGAGTACACAAATTGGCATTAATATTCACAAACAAGGCAAGGCTAGTATGTGAAACTGAATAGATATATTTTTAAAGATATCAATCTTGCCATTGAATAAACTAACCAACATTTTCCTGGTGACAACCCATATGCATTTACACTATAGTAGGAGGCTACAGTTACAGACAAGATTTCCCAGTCTATTTAAAGACCTCTCAAACTTCATTTCTGCTTAATCAGGATTTATTTTAATATAGTTTGTGGCAAGTCAAGGCATAGGCAGAGCCACAATAAAACTCAAAAGCTTCAAAGTGGAATCCATGAAGTAGTCATTAGCAATATTTACAGGCCAAATAATGGATTAAGAAATCTTCATTCACATTTGAATGCTTTTATTTACCCAGTGTTTTCATGTAAGCTCCACTTAAATATTAATGTAACCAGCTCAGTTCCCCATTTGGAATAAAATATAAAATAGAGGGCTGGCAAAACAATTGATCAATTAGAGTTCTGCTAACAAGGCCTGTAGAAATGGATGTGGATACTACGCACACCGATTTACCACAGTGCAAGGTTATCACAATTAATAGCCGTTAGTATATTAGAGCAAACTTTGCTAATACACTGGGATGAATTTCCTGTAATTTCCTTTAACAGGCCACTTGGCACTGAAAGAGTCTGGCCATTTCTACACATTGAGCCGGTGCATCTGCAGAAATGCATGCATGAGAATTGCCTTCTCAAGGTCACCATGAAATGTTTGACCACAAATTGCTTTGATTTTGTTGGCTCCCATTATACTATTGATCTATATATTGTTTCCTGGCCCATCACTTGCTCACCGCAGAAAGCGATTAAGAGCACAACCCTATACACAGCAGGGAATCAAAGTGTCCTTGTCCCGTCCTTCAGCTGATCTTCCTGCTCCGCCTCCTATACCTACGTCACTGCAATGCAACATGTCACAGCAGTTAACCTGTTACAAGCTAGTTCAGACACCTTTCTTCTACAATCCTGACAGCTGAAATCTGTTAAAGCTTGCCTGGCAACCCAGAGTGTTGATATATGATCCTTTATAGTGAAAGGGGATGGGACCTAAGATCAGGATCTCCATGGCATTTGTATATGCTCCGTAAGAACCTGTTAGATCAGAACTCAAGGTCAACCTCCATCACTGGTACCCAGCCACGAATCCCTTTGGAATTAAGCAGGTATAACTGCAGTATTTTTACTACTAGAAATGGCAAGTTTAATGAGATTGTTCCTGGAAGAAATGGCTTCTCAATAGAAGGCAAGCAGGTATCCAACCATTTCTGAAGGTAATTTAGGGATGTATCAGTATCATTACAATGGACAGTTCACCGCTTGTTCAATATTTAGCTTGGGCACGAGTCAAATTTATGCTATTTGGCATAATTAACACCTATATGAAAAAAAAATAGCTCAATAGGTACATAGTGTCACAGCACAACAAATAAATATAAAAGAAAAATTCAGTAATTTGGGATAAAAATTCTGCCTCTTCAACCCCAAATCTAACCAATGCACATGTGCAGCCACCAGTGACATCATGCACACCCACTAATATGGCGATGGTGAACAAACATTCCCTGTTGATCCCCGAACAAACCAGAACGATGCATGAGAATCAAAATAGGGAATTACTATGGGACGATGAAGGTGCTTTGGTTGAGATTCTGAACATTTTAACCCTGTGAATACCAGTCTCATGTTACTGCAGCTGTGCTTGTCCCCTGGGATGGGCCCTCACACCAAATCTCTATTTTAATTCCCTCACCATAACTACTTGCCAATAAGATACACATAGCATTTCATAGCATCTGATTTTTGTAAGATCTTTCACAAGTCATTGAATACATAAGACTCACTATAGCAGGAATATGACGTGTATGTACAGTCATTGACTACATCTTTCACTGGAAGATTTAATCAGCTATTGAAAGTTCAATCACTGGCCTACTTGATGCATTTAACCGCATTATATTCCTGGAGACCCACAGCTGCACGCTTGTTGCTATTCCGAGACACCAAGCCTGTCTGGGTTTTTCTTTTTAACCTATAAAGAGCTTGCGGCATGCTCAGACTGGATGCTCTGCTGTACAACCTGTATGAAGCAGACAGTGGAGCTGCTGTACTGCGTAATTTCCGTGGGATTAGTAACAAGAGCACGTTTCCTTTCAAGCTCACAGCTAGCTGGAAATCCCACCGTCATTCAGAGACACCCCTGTACTGCCCATTCCTAGAGCCAGGGCGAACGTGCAGTTTCAGACACGTTTTTAATAACGCCAAACCACAACAACATGAAGTCATCAAGCCAACAATTCCCAGCACAGAATAACTTGGCACAATATAAAGTACTGCATGCCTAGGGATTTAAATTCAAATTTATATAATCCCAAAGCTCTGCTAGAGACCCCAATTTAATTTGATATCTGCAAATTACACTTAAAGAGGTTTGCAAGTGCTATAATGAAGGCCTTAATTACCATAGGTATACAACATTAACCCCTTAATAGCCAAAATCCATCTACGCTTTTGCAATGATCAAGACTTGCAAAGTAAAGGGTCACTTATTTGGAGACATTAGCGCTGTAAGCAGCTGTTGAGGTCAATAATTAGAACTTTCCATACAAGTGTGAGTTATAACAAGAGGAATGGAATATTGATGGCCCCTAAAGGCTTAATGCAACAATTAATCTCTGGGGAGGGCTGACGTGCTCCGAAGCCATTTTATACAATATGAGATTACAAAAGGGAGCCAGATACACAACGGTACAGTTTATGCAATACTACAGAAAATTGCTATTGAGCAAGAGGAAACTGCACAACAAGCAGGCCTTCAGCTTCATGAACTGTACAATACGGTTCTGCAAAACTAAATACTTTGCATATAAAATAGTTTGGTCAGTAATAAATTGCATAGGATATAGCAGTTAAGAGGTGAACAGCAAATATTGCAAACCCAACTCTATCTTTGTAAGCAAGGCCAGCCCTATAGTGCTGCAATGCCTTACATTTAGAATCAGCTACCTGTTTGCTTGTACAAACAGGTAGCCGATTCTATATGTAAGGCATTGCAGCACTCTGGGGCTGTATGTGTTGGACCAACAAGAGTTTGTCACCATATCACCTGCCCCACCCTAGCAACCAACAATGTTGGCGAGAATTGGGTGCCATTTACCAGGGACCCTGCATTAATTTGCAGTGTGAATAACCAACTTGGTGTAGAGGCTTTAACTGGAAGGAGGTCTCAAGCCTCATTGGGAGGTGATCTTATATTTCCACTAGCATGGAAACCATTTTAAGCCAATGACTCATTTCCTTAGCACAGATCTAGCCTGAAGCCTGGGTTTCAGGAGATATATTCTCTTGAGGGTAGAGGGGGGCTACAATGATATGCCACACATTGCTAGTAAAAGAAAATACAAGGTCAATTTTTTTTGTGCCTATACTTTTAAATTCTGAGTGGTGGCGAGTAGCCATTAACACCTCTGAGGCCAGAAAGAATTGCAGATACAGTAACTGCTGCAGATAGGTTTTGTGTTAGTCAATTCTTACAGGCTGTACCCTCTTGGGGTAAGGAAGGGGTTAAGACCAATACTTCTTAGCAAGCACTCTGAAGCCCACCCTGTGTATGGCTTTCTATTTCTGGCAAGGAGCAGCTGAACTGCATCTGTCACCCACCACACAGCAAGGAGCAGAGCTGTACATTTCAGCTTTACACCAAGCACACCTTTGTACCCAGGGCATGGAGAACAAACCCTCAGTTAATCCTAAACTGACATTATGTTACAGTAAAATATTGTGACAGAGCTCTATACACACTGCTCAATAAAAACTCTGATAGAATGTGTTATAGAACTATGGAATTACAGGTGAGAATAGAGGAGTTATATCCCTGCTTTAATTATACTACTGCAATGACAAAGCAATTAAGAAATACAATTAAAAAACAAACAAAAAAAACACTATCCTTTTAATGCTGCCAAGCTTAGACACATTGCTTGACAACCAATAAGCTGCTATAATATATATATCCTCAGGTCTTCACTCATTGCTACACAGCAAAAGTGAGATGGAGGGACACTCAGTCTACAACCTTATCAATGATGGTTAACTAAGTTGCCATTTATACAGGATAGTAAAGGGAGTTCATAGCTGATAGGATCTCAATGGGTTACATTAAAAAATAAATATAAAGGTTGTATAGACAGTCAAATACATTAATAAGGTCTGAAAATAATAAGGAGAGAAAAAATAAAATAAGATGATTTAAATTAGCTGTGGCCAAAAAGGTAGAGCTCCAGTTTTTGTAGAACTACACCCCCCATGATCCTTTGCCAGATTTAAAGCTTGCAGGGCATCATGGGGGATGTAGTTCTGTCTATAGCTGAGGGTCACCCTTTATAGACAGGTCTGGGTGAGCTGGCAGATTGGCATGTGCCATTGTGGGCACCATGCCCATACTGTGTGAGGGTGGTGGCAGCCTGGTCTTACCTGTTACAGGAAGCACGTTCTCTCCTGAAGGCTATAAGAGAAGAAGTGACACTGAGCTTCCGCACCCGTTATATAGCGTGCACGCCCCCCCTGTCACCAGCTCGGCCCCGCCCCTCATTGGTCGTAACGGTCCTCTCCCCAGCCTGTGATTGGTTGAGCTCAGGCTCGTGACTTTGCGAAGCAGCGAGGAGGCAGGTAGACTGTACGTGCTGGGTCTCACTGATGCAGGATGGAGAGGGGAGGGGCGGGGAGAAAGGGAGGAGGAGGGGCGGGGCTGTGTTACAATGCAAGATGACAAAATGGCGGCCACAGATTTGTGCTGCACATATCCTGCCATTACCTGTGCTACTGCACTGTATGGCACTGACACCCAGTATATACAGATAGTATATTATTATATGTATCTATATCACTGAAACACTCAATATATACAGATAGTATATTATTATATGTATCTATATCACTGAAACACTCAATATATACAGATAGTATATTATTATATGTATCTATATCACTGAAACACCCAATATATACAGATAGTATATTATTATATGTATCTATATCACTAAACACCCAATATATACAGATAGTATATTATTATATGTATCTACATCACTGAAACACCCAATATATACAGATAGTATATTATTATATGTATCTATATCACTGAAACACCCAATATATACAGATAGTATATTATTATATGTATCTACATCACTGAAACACCCAATATATACAGATAGTATATTATTATATGTATCTATATCACTGAAACACCCAATATATACAGATATTATATTATTATATGTATCTATATCACTAAACACCCAATATATACAGATATTATATTATTATATGGATCTATATCACTAAAACACCCAATATATACAGATAGTATATTATTATATGTATCTATATCACTGAAACACCCAATATATACAGATATTATATTATTATATGTATCTATATCACTGAAACACCCAATATATACAGATAGTATATTATTATATGTATCTACATCACTGAAACACCCAATATATACAGATAGTATATTATTATATGTATCTATATCACTGAAACACCCAATATATACAGTTAGTATATTATTATATGTATCTACATCACTGAAACACCCAATATATACAGATAGTATATTATATGTATCTATATCACTTAAACACCCAATATATACAGATATTATATTATTATATGTATCTACATCACTGAAACACCCAATATATACAGATAGTATATTATTATATGTATCTACATCACTGAAACACCCAATATATACAGATAGTATATTATTATATGTATCTATATCACTGAAACACCCAATATATACAGATAGTATATTATTATTTGTATCTACATCACTGAAACACCCAATATATACAGATAGTATATTATTATATGTATCTATATCACTGAAACACCCAATATATACAGATAGTATATTATTATATGTATCTATATCACTGAAACACTCAATATATACAGATAGTATATTATTATATGTATCTATATCACTGAAACACTCAATATATACAGATAGTATATTATTATATGTATCTATATCACTGAAACACCCAATATATACAGATAGTATATTATTATATGTATCTATATCACTGAAACACTCAATATATACAGATAGTATATTATTATATGTATCTACATCACTGAAACACCCAATATATACAGATATTATTATATGTATCTACATCACTGAAACACCCAATATATACAGATAGTATATTATTATATGTATCTACATCACTAAACACCCAATATATACAGATAGTATATTATTATATGGATCTACATCACTGAAACACCCAATATATACAGATAGTATATTATTATATGTATCTATATCACTGAAACACCCAATATATACAGATATTATATTATTATATGTATCTATATCACTAAACACCAATATATACAGATAGTATATTATTATATGTATCTACATCACTAAACACCCAATATATACAGATAGTATATTATTATATGGATCTACATCACTGAAACACCCAATATATACAGATAGTATATTATTATATGTATCTATATCACTGAAACACCCAATATATACAGATATTATATTATTATATGTATCTATATCACTAAACACCAATATATACAGATAGTATATTATTATATGGATCTACATCACTGAAACACCCAATATATACAGATAGTATATTATTATATGGATCTACATCACTGAAACACCCAATATATACAGATAGTATATTATTATATGGATCTACATCACTGAAACACCCAATATATACAGATAGTATATTATTATATGGATCTACATCACTGAAACACCCAATATATACAGATAGTATATTATTATATGGATCTATATCACTGAACCACCCAATATATACAGATAGTATATTATTATATGGATCTATATCACTGAACCACCCAATATATACAGATAGTATATTATTATATGGATCTATATCACTGAACCACCCAATATATACAGATAGTATATTATTATATGGATCTACATCACTGAACCACCCAATATATACAGATAGTATATTATTATATGGGTCTACATCACTAAACCACCCAATATATACAGATAGTATATTATTATATGGATCTACATCACTGAAACACCCAATATATACAGATAGTATATTATTATATGGATCTACATCACTGAAACACCCAATATATACAGATAGTATATTATTATATGGATCTACATCACTGAACCACCCAATATATACAGATAGTATATTATTATATGGATCTACATCACTGAAACACCCAATATATACAGATAGTATATTAATATATGGATCTTACATCACTGAAACACCCAATATATACAGATAGTATATTATTATATATGGATCTACACTGAAACACCCAATATATACAGATAGTATATTATTATATGGATCTACATCAATATGAAACAATCTAATATATACAGATAGTATATTGATATTATATGTATCTACATCACTAAAACACCCAATATATACAGATAGTATATTATTATATGTATCTACATCACTGAAACACCCAATATATAGTATAGTATATTTATATGTATCTACATCACTGAAACACCCAATATATACAGATAGTATATTATTATATGTATCTACATCACTGAAACACCCAATATATACAGATAGTATATTATTATATGTATCTACATCACTGAAACACCCAATATATACAGATAGTATATTATTATATGTATCTACATCACTGAAACACCCAATATATACAGATAGTATATTATTATATGTATTTACATCACTGAAACACCCAATATATACAGATAGTATATTATTATTATTATATGTATCTACATCACTGAAAAACCCAATATATACAGATAGTATATTATTATATGTATCTATATCACTGAAACACCCAATATATACAGATAGTATATTATTATATGTATCTACATCACTGAAACACCCAATATATAGAGATATTATTATATGTATCTATATCAATGAAACCCTCAATATATACAGATAGTATATTATTATATGTATCTATATCACTGAAACACCCAATATATACAGATAGTATATTATATGTATCTATATGTCAGGATTACTGTTTGATCCAGCACGTAGAACTGTACAGCACGGATGACAAATAAGTAACGTATTACCGGTCCTTAGAATGGCCGGATTTAACGTTCATAGAATAGTCAAAAATACTAGCCGAGGTCAGGGAACACAGAAAGGGACACAGCGATGAGGAAAGCCAGGAGTCAGGATACCAGAATATAGAGAAGTCAATAAACAAAGCCAAAGTCAAAAACCAGGTAGAAAACTATAAACAGGAACGCACTCT